CGTCATCACCGTCGTCCATCACATATGACATCAATAGTATTAAAATCTTTTTAAAGGAAGATAAACTGAAGTATACAATCATTGACAATATGAAAGTTAAAGAAAATACACCTTGTTGGAAGAAATTTGGTTTGCCGGCTGTGCAGAATGAAGAAACGAATCGATTTGATATTATACAAGGCTTTACGTCATGTAAAGCATGTAAAACTACGTACAAGTATAAACAAGGAAGTACCACGTCAATGAATGAACATAAATGTGCAATGGGTGTTATGAATCAAAGAACGTTAAATTTTCCAACAAAACAATCGTCATCATCGGCTAATTCAATAACATTTTCAACAATGTCGAAGACCATTGAAAGAAAGAAGAAAGTGTTAACAACACTGATTGCCAAATGGATATGTTTTAATGTTCGTCCTATTTCAATCGTTGAAGACGAAGGATTTCATGCAGTAATTCAAGAATGTGCCAATACAGGTACGTTTCTTTTTCGTCACTCATTTAATTCGTGTATCTCCTTTATGTTTAGGAATTCTTAGTAGTACACTTAATTTCACAGAATTATTACCGTCAAGAAAAACCGTGTCACATGAAATTAGTCGTCTAGCCAATGAATGTCGTTCTGCTTTAAAAAATGAACTATTATTAGCGGTTAAACGATCGGGACTAGCCATCTCTCCAGATATGTGGACAGATAATTTCAGGAAGGTTAGTTATATCGGTTGTACAGCCCATTATATTACTAATAATATAGAATTGAAATCAATCGATCTATTCTGTGAGCCGTACGAAGAAGAGAATAAATGTTCACCGCAAGTTTTAAAAGTCAGTCAAAGAAGAACATCGTTTATCGGACATAACATATTGATTTTATATTCTAGGCGATAATAAAAGGTTTGGAACGTTATGATTTACATAATTACCTCGATTATATCCAATTCGTATCAGATCGTGGATCTAATATTTTGAAAGCATTAGAAGGTTATCGTTTGCTGAACTGTTTCGCACATCGTCTCAATAACATCTTGAAGCACACATTTTATCAAATTGGAAAGAAAAAGAAACAAGCAACAATTCAGAGTGAAGAAGAAAGAGAAGAACCTGATGATGAAACAGTCACAACTATGCATACTAGTTTCGACAGTGATTCCAATTCTGACTTTAGCGACGATGATGTGTTAATATCTTTGGCTGATATTCGTTTAAAGCTGTTGAACTCAAAAAGTATTGAAACAGATTATATAGCAGTGCGAGAAACGAAACTGAATCGCGCAAGCAAACAAGTATTAGCAACAATCAAGTCATGTAAATCATTGGTTCGTTATATAAAAAGAGTAAAGATCGAACAGTCAACGATATAATAGTAGTACGTTCAAGTCAGAAATGATCAGATATTTTTATTTTGTTTTTTTTTCCGCGTTTCTACGTTGGTGTATGTATATTCTGTTTTTGTTTCTATGATAGATGTTACGTTTATATTTTGTATCTATTTTTATAATAAAGGTGATGGTTCTTCATGTGAATCAAAATAAAACAATGAATAGCTTGTGTTAGCAGAGACGATGGACGAGGCGGTGACGGGGCAGAAAGCAGACGGGGCGATCCCCGCGGAGCAGATTTCTCGAAACTTGACGAGGTACGGGGCGATGCCGAGGCGGGAAGTTTGCGAGGCGATCCTCGCGATGGAGCTAAAGATACTCCCTCGCCCATCTCTGGTCACCACTATCCAGCAGAAGAGTGCAAACTACCAAAGTCGTGTCAAAGATTTGGAGATAGCCACATATCAGCGCGAACAAGATCAAAAGTTGGCCACAGATCACCCGACTTATGCCTAAAAATTTTCTCCTTTTTGTTTTTCAGATAAAAGCTTTGAACCTTCCGGTTTTCGGGTAAATTATAAAAGACAGAGCCCGTACCCAACCTTCGAGTCGGGTTGGGTTGCACATCTCTAATCAGAAAGATTTAATTAAAATTAATTCTCTCCACAATATACACATGACCCTTGAAAAAAGCACAAATACTATCACTTTTTGTCACGCAGCAGATTTTTCGAAGAAATATCAAACTTTTTGCGCTTTTTTCCTCTATTTACAAATTATATTATTAAAAATACTGAAAATTCTGTACTTTAGTATGATATACGTAGTATGTGATATAGCGAACGAAACTGGTAATTTTAAAACAGCTCATCGGATATATCCACTTGCTGATGCTGATCAGAATTTATCAGGCAAACGACCATTCGTAATATTCCCAATCCTGTTCTCATCTCACGTCTTTATTCTTGTCCAAAACATTTTCATTTTTTACCATCTAAGCAAAATTTTGGTCAAAATTGCGTAATACTCAGCTATCGAAAACTCCTAATCTAATTTTTCAAGAAGAAATAATTGATTCATTGTGTTTCGACAGGTCTTCAGATAAATTAAAAAAATTTTTATTCTATGAAATAAATTGCCATACTTTATAACCGATGTGATTCTATAAAAATAATCGACTAGATTTCACGTGATCGTCAACTTTATTTACAATACAGTAACAGGCATTAAGCTTTCGAAAAACAACATCTGAATTTATCTTTACATGAAGTGATTTAAAATATGGGAAAACAAATGCGCACCACTTTCCATATAAATCGAAATTGAAAAAGATTAGCCCTTTGGTGGTGAAACAGCGCTTTCAAAAGTACCAAACGATAGCACGATGGTCTTTAGAAAATGGTATTTTCGAGAGAAAAAAAGCTTATCGTTTTCATAAAATCATATAGACTTAATAAGCTTTTTGTGATGTCAGGCGGATAGCCCGAATGTCAACGAATCGTATGATGTACGCTGAGTTGGAATTTTAAGTTATTTTGATCGAAATATAGACAAGACAATCTCGGTCATATCACCGGAAAAAAAATAAAATTGGTTTAGAGTTGCTGAAAAGTGATTTTTCGTACTTAGCACACTCAATAACCCAGGAGATTTTCTGTTTTTGACCAGAGGTACTTCCGAAAGTTTAGGGAAAGCTTTCAAATTAATATTATTTTTCCATGGAAAACTTTTTGCGCCATTTTATTTGAAAAATTTTTCTCAAACTTTCTGAAGTACCCCGAGCCAAAATAGAAAATCTTCTGGGTTATCGAGTGTGCTGAGTACGAAAAATCACTTTTCAGCAACTCTAAACCAACTTTATTTTTTTTGTACCGGTGATATGGGACATTTTCGATGTAAAATGAGATTTTCTTCGTAATAAGGCAAACTAGAGAGTTGCCGTTTCTATCACATTCTGGACAGCAAATGCAAAAAAGAGTAAAGCGTTCGGCTCTAACAGATAAACGGTTTCGTAGTTATAGACTAAACAATTTTCAAAATCTTGGTGGACATTTTATACAAAAGAACAGATTGAAGACATGTTTCATCCTGATTTCGATTGGATAAAAAACTGTAAAGGATTTTCTTTTTTATTCAAGATGTAGAGCTTTGTGTGCTCTATCTTTCTGTCTATTTTAGAACTTTTCAAGGTTCGTCACTGGCATATTAATGTAGCTCTAATCTCGCTGGACAGAATTTTGTAAAAGTGTTTGTAAACAGAGCTTTTTGATAAAACCAGAGTCAAATATGATTTAATTTAAATTCAAAGTACGTATTCTGAAAACCTAATATATAGGCTACAAGAAACGCTAAAAGGCTTTTAGAACTACTTAGTTCTAAATAGTTTAAATAAATCGGTGAAAAAATTTGATTCTTCCTCCAGATGGTGCCAAAAGCAGCCAACTTTGGTCTTGTTTGATCTATATCTCAGTACTCACTTGAGATGGAGAGTTCTTTTTCTCACAAGTGAATGGCCATTACTGGACAAACTAAATACAAAAAAGAAATTTTAAAATCGGTTGAGCAGAACAGTTTTTATAAACAAAACATTCTCCGACAACCAACGGTACAATGGTTTTACAATTCACTCATATACTTAGCACATCCTATCATTTCATCGGAAGGAGTGAATAGTTAGACACAACAGTTTGAACAGAACAGTTTTCATAAGCCGCTGGAGATGTCACGTTCTCATTACGTTCTCAAGTAACTCTTTTAAAACTTTATGTATTTTAGCTAAAATCTTGTGTTTTTTTTCTAATTCTAAGATTTTATATGATTTTTCTAAGATCTTAGACAAATGTAAGCAAAATCTTACTAAGATCTTAATAAGATTATTCTAAGATCGTACTAAGATTGTACTGTCTAAGAGTTTTTCAAGACTGGATAAGAATATATTCGGATCTTAATAGTAAGAACGATAACGTTTTTAAAATAATATTCATCCGAGGTTCACTAAAAATTTGTCAAGTTTTAATCTGAATTATCCAAAGCAGCAGTTGAACAGTGTTGAATAATGAAGAGAAATGTCATATTTTCAGGTGTCCAACTATGGACCAGGTGTCCAGCTATTTATTGAATCTACGACCCTTTACCCTTTATTTCGATCAAAAATTATGGCTACCAAATCTATGAAAGATTAGTTTATTCTTTGCATAAAAAGTTCATCATGAATTTTAAGATTTAGACATTCTTCACTTAATTAATTTGAAAGATAAATAACTTTCAAATGGTTCGTAAACCAATTTATGATCATCTCACTTCTCTACGGAATAATATTGAAACAAAAAATGAAATTTCTTCTATTATTCACACTTCAGAAGACTGGAAAAATGAACTTATATTCTGGTGTCTTTTAGACAACTTGCAAGAAACTGCTAATAATTTTAGTGAAATTTCCAAATTAAAAAATATATTAAATGCTCTTGTTAAAGGTCAAAATGTTTATACTATTCTCGATATAGTTCAGCCACTAATTTCTCGACAAAGTTCTTACTCTTCATCTTTGTCGTATTCGAAATCTTTTTGAACTTATTATTTATTTACAAATTGGACATCCTGCTATGTAATATCTATGTATAGGAAAATTTATTTTTTCAAGTCTAATACCATCGCCACTGTCTCTCTTATCTGAATTTTTAAATTATTTTACGCATGAAACAAATCAAATGACTGTTGGTGACTTAGAATTATTTCTCATAGAAAATACGAACGTTAATGTTGAGGAATGTAGCAATAAATTACGTCTTCTGATTTGTATCCAATGTATGTGTAAGGAAATTGAAAAGCCAATAACATCGTCATTAATTATATCAAATATACATCTTAACCCTAGTAGTACAAGCCTCTTTTTAGCACTCCATTGGTAGTATACAGTTTTTCTTAAAGGATTATTTTATTTTTTCATCAGTATTTTAGTACTTACGTGTCATTCGCGTGTTCAATGCGATAAAGAAACTGTCAAAATAACGACCTTTATTTATTTGGAGCATTTAATACAGAAAATACGCTTCACAGAATGCTCATTGCAAACGAATTCTGAGCATTTGTAGCACTTATTTGAAGTTTTTCTAATATGAATGGAATATGTAAGTATGACGTCATAAATGATAGACAGTAAAAAATGATCGATAGATGATCATATCACCTAATAACAGAAAGAACAAGTAACAGATAGATTGAAGAACGAAAAAACGGATAAAATACTCACTGGCAACAACATAAAAGAAAAAAACATACATGTATATATAACAATGACTCTAACATCGAATTAAGTAACAAAATATTCCCACTATGTTTTCAAATTTTTCGGTATGGGTCAACAATGACCCACTTGGTACTACTAGGGTTAATATTGATAAAATGTTGAATTCACGATCAATATTTGAAATAGAGCATTTAAAGCCTCGCCCCCGTTAGAAATTATCCCCGACACCGTATTTCCGATCTTGACGAAACTTTCCATAAATATTAGGCACAATAAGTTACGAGAACGAAAAACGTTTATTGCCTCCATGTCTTACAGTTCAGGAGTTTTCAAGAGATCAAGGTTCAAAAAGGAAGCTTTTGTTATTCATACGTCTAAACTTAAATGCGTATGGTACAAGAACTTTCTGTTCTATTGGCACTTAATTCAGACGGACATTCTTCACGAATTTCATAAATAAATACTGATGAAGCTAAACGCGTATTATTTCCATATTAGCTGTCATAAAATTATTACAAAGATTCAAAGTTGATGTTATTACAAGTTCAACTGAAATTAGCAAAAATTCAGTGTAAAGAATTAGAATCATTTTATAAATACTTTAATTTAGAAATTGCTTGTAATGCTGATTTATCATATCAGAATTATACGTATAGAAAAAGAAAAAAAACTTGGAAATTCATTAGAACCATTATTGGAAAATACTAGAAAATTTCATTCAGTTTATGGATGTGTCAAACGTATTTTCAAGAACTTGTGCAACATTTTCGGTTATGGTCGGTTTCTTCGGGCTATTCAAAACCGTATTGAGATTTGTTCCAGCTTTTACTTAAAAACCAAAAGCAAAGGAGTTTATAGCGTTGGGGATTATCGATGAGTGGAATTATTTTCTCAGATGTAATTTATGGTACAGCACATGACTTTGAAGCAGATATTTTAAGGCTCCCACCTGTCAAAAATCTGTTTTCGTCCTAGAACATCCGATTCTAATAAACTTTTCACAGAATATGTTCCTTGTATTTGATATATCGCACAAAAAATTTGAGCTCGAAGTATTGAGTTTTTCCAGAGTTATCTCGAAATTAAGGGTCAAAAAGTAGGTGTCCGTGCTCCGCCATTTTATATGCTAGAGAGCTCGAGTAGATCTTGAAATGTAGCCAAGACTTGTTATAACGTAGCAGGGCACGATCTTTTACTTTTTTTCGATTTATTTTTTGCGAAAGTTGTTTTTAAAAAAGTTAGAAAAACTACGGCTTACTTTTCAGAAAAT